TCTACTCCATTCCATTCCATTCCATTCCATTCCATCTTACGATTCTTGAAGAATGTATCTTTTCATGTATACTAGAGCATATGCATCAGACAATTCCTTGTATATCTAATCATACTTGGCCAATAAAGAATTCTATTCTATTCTAATTCTTATTCTGCAGAACCAATCTATTCTACTGAGAAATCTATTACCTGCTGAGTCGGTCTCTCCACTTCTTGTTGGCTCAAGAGGAAGTTTTCAGCCAGAGTCACTGCTTGGGCACAGGTCTCAGGACAGCCATCTTTGACCCAGCCTTGGATCTCAAGGGGCAGGATGGCCAGGAACTGCTCCAGGATCAGCAGCTCCAGGATCTGCTCCTTGGTGTGCCTCTCTGGCTTCAGCCATCGGTGGCACAAGAACCAGAGGCGGCTGCAGGCCTCGCGGGGACCATCGACCTCTCGGTATAAGAACCGACGGAAATGCTGCCGCTGGACCTCAGTGCTGATCGCGTCCACCCGCAAGATGGCCGCCTTCACCTTCCCGTAGTCTCCAACCTCCTTGTCCTCCAATGCTCCTCCTTCGTTTTTGAGGCCTGGGATGAGCTGAGACATCCATTTTCCAGGGTGGGTGTTGACGGCCTTTTCAATGGAGGTCAGGAAGAGATCGTCCCAGGGTTGGGAAGCCGGGAAGGGAGCATGCCCAGGTTGAGACGGAGACCTTCCCTCCATTCCTGAGGCGTCTTTCCCGTGTGATGTTTTCTCTTCATTTTTCAGCAGGCTAACGTGGTTGCTCATCCCAGTTCCTTCAGAAACATCTCCAGGACTTGCCACATTCTGTCCTCCCGCTTTCTCCTCCTGCTGTTCCACTGGACGAGAATCCTGTTGATCCCGGGGGCTCATGACGTCTTCCTCTTCCTCCTTGGAGGCCATTTCAAGTTCCTCCAGGCCAGAGTGACTTTGATTCACCTCGGTTTTCTTCCTTCCCTTTCGATTCTTCGTATCTACTGGCTTTGGGTCCCAATTTGGTTGAAGTGAGAAAAGTCCAACCTTGGTCGGCTCGCAGCCACTCAAGAGATCTACCTGCCACAAGGACATCAAGGTCATTACATTGCGTTATTTAAAAGAGCTGAGACAGAAGAACTATTATTGCCTGTTCTGACCCAGGCTTCGTAGACCGTAATCGCGCACAAATTTATTTTAAAAACAACGACATATTTTATTGCAACACTGGGAATTGTTTTCATTCCCAGCCGGAATTAATCTCAAACAAGTCTGTTCATCCCCAAGATAAGCACACACCTTTCAGCTTTGTGAATTGCTGCCAAAAAGCAGAAATATCAAATGAACTAGAAAAGAAACCAACCAAAGTACAAGAAAAACCCAACCAAAGTACCAAGAGCTTTAGGAATGAGTCTGAACTGATCGAACTACTTTGCTTCCTGCAAAGGTTTCATCATCTTGGCCTGACTTTTATCCCTAATGGGAGGGGCAATCACTTCCTAGCCTTACTCCTGAGTCACCCCTTTTGTCTCAGCTGCTCTTGCCTTCTAGCAGCTCTGCGCACACGCGCACTGGGAACAGGCTCCCCTTGTTCCTCTGCCTCGCTGCTGCCAGACTCTGAAGACTCCAAAGGCAGCACCCCAGTTCCAGATGGTCCTGGCCCCATCTCTGCATTAGACGCAGGACCCTCATCCGTGCCCTCTCCCGACTCCCTAACTGGTCCCCTTTCTTCCTCACTGTCCAATTCCACTGCTGTCTGCACCGGCTGCCGGCGAACCACAACGCTGCCTTCTCCAATCTGGGTACCCTCTAGACTTCATTTCCCAGAATTCTCCAGGCAGCGTGGCTATTGCAGAGAATTCTGGGAGTACAGATACAGGTCTCAGCCGTTGGCCATGCTGCCTGGACACTGACAATGGATCCCAGAGTTCTCCAATCACAGCGGAGAACTTTGGGAGTGCATAATTCAGAATTCAGTTCCCAGAATTCTCCAGGTAGCATGGCCATTAATAAAAATTCTGGGACTCTGGACTTCGATTCCCAGAATTCTTCTGTCAGCGTGGCTGTTGCTGAGAATTTAGGGGGCGGGGCTACAGATTTCTCTAGGCAAGTGTTATTCAAGCTTAGCAACTTTAAGAGATGTGAACTTATAGCCTGGAGGAATTCTGGGAGTTGGAATTCCATATATCCACCCGTTGCCAAGTTTGAAAAAATATTGCCGTAAATCGGAAGCAGCACTGTGCACCGACTGGTACCTCTTTAAAGCAGCTGCATTTGTTCCTGAGTTTGCACAGTGGCCCTTCAAACCCAAGAAAATGCATTTTTGAACTTAAGGAGGCATCAGTAGCACCGCAAAACCTCACTCACCTTGATGTACCTGTTGACACCTGCTCAGCTCAAATGATATTTAATGCCGTAGAACTGCAGGCTTTACTGAGCTAAAATATATATAAGCTTGTCAAAATTATGTCCTTGTCCAGGTGTTGTAGCTTAGTCCCACCTACCTAGAGTAGAAGCCCATTGACCTCAATGGCACTTAACAGATAATCAGAGTTGAAAGAGACCTTATAGGTCATCTAGTCCACCCCCACCCACCCATGCAGAAGACTCTACAACATATCTGACAGATGGGAGTCCAATCTCTTCTTGAAAGTCTCAAGTGATGGTGTTCCCACAACTTCCGAGGGCAACTTCTGTTCCATTGGTTGATTGTTCTCACTGTCAGAAAGCTTCTCCTTATTTCCAGGTTAAATCTCTCCTTGTTCAGTTTCCATCCATTGTTCCTTGTCTGGCCTACAGGTGCTTTAGAAAATAGCTTGACCCTTTCTTCTGTGTAGCAACCCCTCAAATGTTGGAAGACTGCTATCATGTCTTCCCTGGTCCTTCTCTTCACTAGACTAGCCATGCCCAGTTCCTGCAACCGTTCTTCATATGTTTTAGTCTCCAGTCCCCTCATCATCCTGGTTGCTCTTCTCTCTACTTTTTCTAGAGTTTCAATATCTTTTTTATAATGTGGTGCCCAAAACTGGATGCAGTACTCTAGGTGTGGTCCTACTAAGGCTTTTTAGAGTGGTATCAGTACCTCCCTTGATCTCGATTGTATCCCTCTGTTAATGCAACTTAGGATTGCATTGGCTTTTTTGGCAGCTGCTGCACACTGCTGGTTCCTATTCAGCTGGTTGTCCATTAAGATTCCAAAATCCCTCTCCCAGTTACTGCATAAGTTTGTCAAAATTATGTCCTTGTCCAGGTGTTGCAGCTTAGTCCCACCTACCTGGAGTAGAAGCCCATTGACCTCAATGGCGCTTACAGGAAAGAAGGAAGGAAGGAAGGAGAAATCAGAGGAGGGGGAAAGAAGAAAAGAAGGAAAGGAAGAAAAGAAGGATAGGAAAGGAAAGGAAAGGAAAGGAAAGGAAAGGAAAGGAAAGGAAGGAAGGAAGGAAGGAGAAATCAGAGGAGGGGGAAGGAAGAAAAGAAGGAAAGGAAGGAA